GTACCGTCCCTTTGCTGAGGGGTGCGGGGGGGTGATTTGGTCGAGTTTTTATAAGCTCGGCGAGGCTGGGGTCATCCTGTCTGGGTGTCCTGACTGGACTAGGCTGCCCACCAGCATCCGGGATCGTCACCCAGGTAGGATGGTCCAGGTAGAACGCTAGATTCCTTAGTTGTTTTCTAAAGTGATTGCTCCTTTTTTACACTGGACATCTACTGGCCGAGGAAAGTCATGGAATCAGCAGAGTACGCTTCGGCGGTGAAGGTGGGTAGCTCAAAAGGGTGGTCCATAAAGGTATGAATTTGGGGACATGGGGGGGGTTGGGGGGGACATCATCTATTCTTTGCGCTGACTCCAGATGGGGAGACTTTTCTAAGATTCTATTTGGTGACCACAAAGGGGGTCAACATATCGCCCTGCGCGGTCTCCCGATGCCAAATGTGAAAATAACCGGCTTTAAGCTGGGTGTAGTGTAGGACCTGTAGGTCTCTGGTTTCCAGAGCTCTTGTTTCTAGTTCATGGGAAGATAATGGAAGATAATATGGACTTGCTGTGACGTATGACCTGCTGATTTGGTTGGATTGGTTGGAGTTCCTTACACTTGGCTGCTCGTGGTTATTGGCAGAGCAGGGCGGCGGTGATGGCGGTGAGTACTTTGGGGCACCCACCACTAATCTGGCAAAACACATCCAACTGCCATGGAACCCCTGGAGGTTTTCTTGTTAAAACCCGTTTGTGGCGCTGAAAAAAACGACTCTTCGCCTTTCTTCGAGTCCCACGAAGCCTTGCGAATCTTCGCCGCGGTTCGCTAGGTCGCTGCCGTCGTCGAGCAATGAGAGGGCAGTCATGGATGGGGCATGGGGAGAAACATCCAAACCATTCCAACCCCAACAAAGCTGCGGCAGTGAGGCTCCCTGGTCTCTGTGCGCGAACCACACGTTTCTGTGCGCCTGATGCGTTTCAGCACTCCTGAAGGTTTCTGCATGTTCAGGTCTTCCTTGAGACACCGCCGGGTCCTGTACTTCAGGAACCTGTTCTAAGAGGTATGTTCTTCCGATCACCAGATCATCCACATGGTTTTCAGTGGGATCCAAGCACTGCATATGGCCTGAAACGCCCAACCCTTGCATTGGTGGATGTCCCGCCGATCCGTCAGGCGATGAGCGAAGTGATGGCAAAGGCTGAGGAGGAAGCTCGGGACTTCGTCGTCGAGAAGGCCTTCGATTCAGGGATACCTGTATCAAAAAAGACAAGAACATTGATTCCCATCAGTTACAAAAATCGATTCTTATCAAACAAACATTTAAAAACCAACATTAATTCGGATCAAACACATGTTCCTCCTACTCCTTTGGTCCCCTGGTCCCTTGGTCCTGTGGTCCCTTGGTCCTCTGGTCCCTTGGTCCTTTGGTCCTGGTCTTCGTGTCCTTGACTCTGTACTTTCGAGGCAAGACGCGGCAATGGTGATTTGGGAATCTCCAGGTCATGAAGCACTGTACCAGACCTTTTGTGCACCCGACGGTAAAATTTAGACAAGGAAGGTGCCATTCCAAGGTAGCAGACCTTCTGTGAGCCACCTGAGGGTAAAAGGTGTAATTAGAGGTCTAGAAACCCAGAGATCTACAGATGCCGAGGCTTCGAGGTCTTGAAATCTAAATTCTAGAGGTCAGAGACTAAAGGCCGAGAAAGATCCAGAAAGGGTTTGAGATGCAGAGAGAGGTCCAGAGGTCTTCAGATCCAGAGATATCAAGAGATCTTTTCAGAGGTCTTAAGATCCACAGATATGTTGCGCCTGCCACGAAATCTGCTCATATATAGGTTCACCCAGCGCCGCGCCTGCCACGAAATCAGCACTTCGAGTTTCACAAAGTGCAGCCCCGCCACACAATTTTCACTTCAAGGTTCACAAATCGGTGCGCTTGCCACGAAATCTGCACTTCGAGGTTCACGAACTGCAGCGCCCGCCACGGAATCTGCAGCTGAAGGTGCTCAAAGTGCTGTGCCTGCCGCACCTGCCCCGAAATCTGCACATCAAGATTCACATCACGCAGCCCTGCCAAGGCGGTTCGTAGTGGCAGGCGCAGCTCTTTGTGAATGGATATTTTGGATGGTGGATTCAATGAAATTTGGATCTTTGGGAAAAGAAATTCATTGAAGATGATCCACTGCTGGATTTCAACAGAAGATTTGGGGCTGTCGGAGTCGGTGAGATTGTGCGTGAAAGCCTTTGTGGTTCACAGCTTGAGCGCGCTTGCAATCCAACGACGGCTGATGTCTCGAATGTTTGGCGAAGCGTGGAAGGGGCGCACTTGTATCTTTCCAATGCGTGCGGGTGGTATACGGTGGTTCGAATCTTCAATTGAGTCGAAAAAAACCCGGGAATATGTATTAAGTAAGGAATGTTCCCAGAGGTTCAGAAATCGCTTGTCCACCGCTTGGTATTCTGGTGTTTAAAGTGGGTATGTTACCTCGTCGCGCTAGCAAAATGCAGGGTTGCGCTAGGTTCGCGCTAGGTTTGGCGCTAGGATCAAGTACTTAGGTGACTTAGAAAAGACTAAAGAGCTGATTGTAACGGTCACTCATTTTGTGCACATACACACACACACACACCCGCACAGGCACAAGTGAAAGGCAGCGCGCGCTGAAAAAGGCAGCAACTGTTTGAAAGGGAGTAACTGTTTGAGAGACGAGAAAGCGAGTTCTTGATCACAGACGTTTGGTGGCCTCATGCACTGGCAGGGAAGCGCGCTAGATCCGCGCTAGACCCGCGCTAGATCCGCGCTAGACCCGTTTGCAACTTTGACCACTTGTCCAAGTGCTTTCCAGGGTGTATAGTCTTGGCATTTTGTTTCTGTGTGCAAGAGGATGGCTACTTTCAGCTTCACATTTGGAACCATTGGACTCTGTAAGTAAGAACGCAGCTGTTAAAAGGGCATACACAACATACAACCATATACATGAGCGCATGTTGGGTACATGCTGGCCACCGCTTGGAATTGCTGTGATTTCAACCTAGGATAATGATTTTAGAACGGTTTTTTTCAACTCAATTCGGCGTTCAACCAGACACGGTTCTTTCACAATTGGAGCAGTTGAATGAGGATTAGATTCACTGTATGAACGATTGCATTCTTAATGCGTGCAGGGTTCGTATCAGACCGCTTCCAAAGATTTCCTCAAGCCCTTTTCCACGAATCCGGCTTCCGAGCACAGATATCCACCAGCAACCAAAGGAAGCGAAATTCTCACCCGTTGTGAAGTGCCCGAAGGTGGCAGACAGCGTGCTCTTTTCTTGCGCGAATTTCCTGGTCGTTTCGCGCAGGAGTGGCTGAGCAGGAATCCTGAAGGTCACGCGACCCTCGTGTCCCTTCGTTCTGAGAAGTCTTCCTTTTGCGCAGCAGCATGGAAGATTGTGAGGCCACTAGTGGGGACAAGTTGGACAAAATACAGTGGCATATCTGTGGTTTGCACAGGTATGCTTTGCACGTTTTTGCGATATTATGGCATCAAGCCAGAGAACCATCAGGAAGCTGATATCTGGCCAGCCAGACCGAAGGTCCATCAAAACACCTGCAAGCCAGCCCAGACAAGGACACCAAGACCTCAAGTGTGACCACTTTTTCAGGGCGCTCCATATGTCAGCTGCTGAACCTATCAGAAGAAGCCCAAATGTATCCCAAACCCAGGGGCAGTTCTGCGGTTACGTGGTTCTGAAGTACAAGGATTGCTTCCTGTGAGTTCATTAAGTGGATGTGTGGGAATGGTTGCATCACAATCTCGAACTCAATTTCGATTTCATCATGTTGGAAGGTTCGTTTGGACGTCAAATCCTGAGGATTGGAAGGGTGAGTCCACGTGATTGGTTTATGCGATTTTGCGACGTATAGGGAAAGAAACTCGAGCTGTTTGTCTGAAGACGTTTCAACCGAATCGCCGCATGTTCTTTGATGTTGATCTGCCTGGATTCGAGTGGAAGATCGTCTCTCCTGTCGCTGCGAATCATTGCCAATCTGAGATGTATCTGTGCGCGCTGAAAAGAACTCTGGGGTCTGCCGGATATCCTTTGAGCAACGGATGTGTTTTTGATTACATGGCGCTTTTACATGTTCGCATGAGGTGCGTTCTGTGTGTCATTGAATTGTCAAGATCGGGAACTGGCAGCTTCCCACGGTTATGAATCCGTTGAGACATGATCGTGGCGTGAATTTATGGAGATGCTTTGATCGGAATTCCCTTGTATTTCAGTTTGAACCGGAAGCTGGTTTCATTCGTGGTGTGGGCATTCCACTTGACTCTCCTTCTCTTCCATACATCGGTCCTCGCTGCTAGCGGTGATGAGATTTCACAGCTTCAAACCTTGCTCAAGCATCGAAACCATCAAGAACGACGAATCATTCATTTGGTCGGCTCAGGGTTGCACTTTTTGGCGCGGAAGATTCTGGAGCTTGATCCTAAAGTCTCCCTAGGCGATCGACATTAGTGATGACTCTGTCGTTGCTCATCGTGAGCAATTGAAGGCGTTTCCTGAGTTGTCGTCGAATTGGACGCACGTTAAATGTGACGGAATCGCCTAATTGAAAGCAATCATCGAGGGTCAATTCCCCTCCGGTCCCGATATTTTGTGAATTGATCCTTTATGGAACTCTACTGAAGCATTTTCTTTTGCTTCATCAGAGCTTCACAAGGTCTTGAGAAAGCTCAAGATGCCGCTATGGATTCGTGCACCAAGGTCCTGGAGAAGAACTTGCGATTCTCGTGGCCTCGACAAGCCTCTTTCTATAGGGCACCTCTGATTGCCCCTCGCTTCCACGCGCATGGGCTGCTCTATTGGAAGCTGGCCTCGCTTTGCTGCCATTGGCCGCGCTGCGGATGATTTCCCTTGAGCTGACCAGAGCTGCCTGTCTCTTGCATCAGCTCCTCGTGACCCCGAATGCATCCATTGGTCGAACGAGTGAATTGGGTCATTGTGCTAGGACCACTGTCCCAGGAACACCAGTGATCGTTATCAATCCCATTTTACCCGCAACAGAGGTGAGGGTTGTGACACTGCCATGGGTGTCACGGATGGGTGTCACGGGAGTGGCTGCCAATCCTGACCCCCTCTCGAGATCTCATCTGTAGCCATCAACCACACGGCAACATGCCCATAGGCAGAGACCATCATCTGGTCTCCAACTCGAAACGGAGCTATAAACCTGCAGTTCGTAGAGCTGAAAACGAAGGATACGCCTGGTTTCGAGGAAAACTGTACGATGCCAAAGCTCTAGGCACATGTGTCCGCTTGCCTCCCAAGTCTCGTAGAGCTGTGCCAGCTACACTCCCCCATCCCCGCCCCACGCACCGACTTGAGGAACCGAGTACATCTCTTTAGTTGGAATTGCAGTAGCTTGGGGCATGCTCAACTGGGAGAGATTTTTGTGTGTGGCCACGCCACAGCTTGCCCTTCAAGAAATCCGCTGGCAGGGCACGAAAGAGTGGTCTGATGACACATGACATTTTGTTGCGGTAGGTGGGTCTCCCAGACTTTCCACGGGGGTCATCATTGCGGCTCGTAAGACCTTCTGTAGCCTGAATCAACTCTCTTGGAGAAGCCTCTGGGACGGTAGGTTACTTCATATTCGGATACATTTTGACCGCCCCCTAGATATTCTGAACCTCTATCAGAAGACCTACCAAGCTAATCCCCAAGATCTCAAACTTAGAGCTGATGTGTTTCGAGCCCTGGACGAGTGCTTGACCTCCTTACCCACCCGTAACAACTTGCTTCTGGTTGGTGACTTCAACACGAGCTTGACCAAGTGTAGTCCCCATGTTGGTCACTCGCAATTTCTAGGATGTGATGAGCTGCCTACCACGGGTTCATCCCAAGCCATGGCCTTTGCGCACTTAACGCGATGTGCCCAGGCCTTCCTGCCACGTTTCGAGGCATTAAAGGTCAGGGATCCTGGATTGATTTCGTATGCACTCGCCTGAAACAGGTTGAGTTTGAAGCCAAGCAATGTGCTCCCATTCCTAGTTGCCCCCTCTTGGGCACTTTCACCCAGGGACATATTCCTTTGATTGGTTCGGTGACGTTGGCTTGGAAGCCTTGGTCTGGAGTGGCCCTGAGTACCGTCAGTTATGCACACAGGACTCGTGCACGTAGTGAGAGAGCATGCACCTCAGAACATCTCAGCCAAGTCACCTGGCCCTGTGATGGCCAATTTCGGCACTTTCATCAACATTTGAATGAACTTCTTTTGTAACGGCAGATAGATTGTGCACCAGAACCCCCCTGCCCAACATCAGCAGGTCCACCGGACCCAGAAAGCAGCGTCCGCTCAGGCTCGTCAGGGCCGGATTACACAACTCCTCACCGAGGCCAGAGCAGCCGATAGCAGACTTCATCAGATCGTTCGCAGGGTAAGCCCAAAGAGAGAACCTCACGCATCCAGATCAGAGCTGAGTCTGGTCACCACCTGAGCCCACTTGACAAGTTCGTCCACATCAAATGTTTTGTTCAGTCCACATGGCGTGATGACCCCCCTCCCACCCTCTCTGATGCCTTGGGGCCCAGGGGTTCCGTTCACAACAGCTGAGCTGGAGAGATCTTTTTCTAGGCTTGTGCGACTGAAAGCCCTGGCACGTGTGCCTCATTGAGCATACTGAGCTGCCCGGCCGTATGCGCAAGCCGGCTGATGCCGCTCCTTCAACTTTGGTGGAACCGACCGGACCCCTACATTCCCACTGACTGGAGAAACGGACAATTTTTTGTTTACTCCCTAAGCCTGGTAAACCTCCGAACCAAGCCCAGAACCTTCGGCCACTTGCATTGCAAGATGTTTTGGGAAAGGTAGTTTTTGGACTGGTGAGTAACTGTGCCAGACTTTCGGTCCTGGAAACCTTGACTTCCACCCCTCAACTTGCCTATCTTCCCTTCCGGGGTATGGCTGAAGCCATTGCATGTGCCTCTGCTCCCTCGGTGTTAGATCTGACTGTTTGCACTTGCTGTATGAATGGCATAGAGGCACGCATTATGATATTTCCCACAAAGGTTTTTCGGCCACTGTTCCGGCAAATCGAGGTGTTCGCCAAGGCTGTAAGGCAGCTCCTTTTTTATGGTGTTGTTTTACCACGATCATCCTGACAAGATTGGCAAGATTGTCAGACCACACTTCGTGGTCGTGGGTTGCACAAAATGTCACGGTCTATGCCGACGACTTTCTGGTGCACCAAGCCAGACGGCTCACAGTATGTCTCCCATGGCCAGTTGACAAGGCTTCCATTGCCCAGCTTCTACCGCTCAACCCAGTGCTTTAGAGGCGCCCTGGCTTCCTGATCAACTTGCTCCTGATCACTTGCACATGGTGTGGACTACTTCCAGCACGTGACTCTGCCGCCGTTGTTCTCAATGCAACCTCTTTGGGACCCCAGCGGCCCTGTGGACCCACCTCTCAAGCATCTGGGTGAGTCGATCAGTGGTCCCTTTGCGGATCCAGGTAGCACTGAGGAACGATACATTGATGGTGGATCTCAGGAACCTCATCACCAACACGATTTGGCTCTTGATCTCCGGACGGCTCGGCAACCATGACTTTCAGAGGTCGGGATTGGCCCAGGAGGTTCGTTCTCCCAGAGGAGAGGCACACGTCACTGAGGAACCTCATCCTGCGCCGCTTGAGCTCCATGGAACGGGTCAACAATGACAATCACTGCTAACTGAGAGTCTGATTAGCGATTCCTCCAATACAGAGGTTTTTGGACGGAGGTTCATATTGTTCATGATTTTGGCCTCCTCGCTTGATTTTCATTGATCTTGATCCAGCTTCAGAGTTGGATAGATGACCTGGCTATTAGATGTGCGCCTGCACTCCATGGTGGAGTCCGCCTCTCAAGAGAGAAGCGTAGGCTGCGCCCCGGATCGCCCGCAGCGTGAGAAGAAAAACATTCTCTCCCATCCCAGCACTTCTCTTCCTGAAGTCGGGTATGGAGCAGAACAAACATTTGACATGTACACCTTCTTTTGTTTCAGTCACTACAACTCTGTGTAACTATAAAATCCATCCTCAACATCAACATACAGATTTTTTGATCATTACTCCCTGACGGAGACATCCAAGGGGCGATGCCATCCACTTCCAGCATTATTTCAGGGAGTGTAGTTTTTCCAAGCCTAGAGTCCCTTGCTTCAGCAGTTCTGCTTGTTTTCACGAACCTTCCAAGATGACAAGCTTTGAGGTGAGCTTCTGAGTGCAACCGGGTCACCAAAAAACACATTGTGTTTTGCTCCATCAGGCCATCAGGGCTCATCAGGGTTGACCCCACCAGCATGGTTGGTCCTTTCTGTTGACGAAGCAGGTCATGTGATTTTGAACAAACATCTTGAAAACGTTCAAAACTGTTCCAGTTAAAGCTCGAAACCGCTGTCACAAAGTTCAAAAACCACATGACCTCCTCTACACCGTCCCATTCGCCCCCCTCTCCTCCCCCAAAGAAAACGACACACCCACAGCCGTGTCCCGAACCGGTTGGGACTGACCGGACCAACGGTCAGGCCGAGGAACTGGGCGAGGATGGCGCGTTGGAGGCTGCCCTCATGGAAGCCTTTGTTGCGATGGCGGAAAGGAGCGACTGGAGGGACCGGTGCTGAAAGGTTGGAGAAGAGAGACTGGGTGATATGGTCCAAGGTTGGACCTATACTGTCCGATCAATATTGCTGTCCGGATGGACTGGGGAGGTGCCGACCGAGAGAGGCCTTTGGTTTCAGAGAGGCTCAGTGTCTGAGGTGCTGGCAATGAGAGAGATTGAATTTGGAAGAATGTTTGGTTCAATACCTGTTTTTGTTGCTCAATAAGGTTCTTGTGTTTTTTTAAAACCCTATATGGGTAAATCCTCCAAACCTAAGAAAACCAAACAAATGCAGGAAGGAAAATTTGAATTATGAAGGTAGAACGGACCGAAAAACCGGGTTAATTTGAATTTTGAAACTGTTTGTGGTTTGTGACTGCAAGCTGTGGAAAACTTGGATGTGTTTGCTGAGAAAATCAGATCAATGATAGATCATGATATTTTTTTCAGGCTCCAACTAGCTTTCAAGTGGTTTTAGGCTGGGTCGAACAAATTTCGGCGGTCGTTTTTGTGGGGGGCGTGACGTTGTCCTTCAGTTTTGGGTTTGCTGAACTTCATGGGCACAGTGCAGCTTAAAAACAAATGTTTATAGAGACATTTCTTGGACGGCAACGATCAGCGATGATGTGGAAGCTCCATGATGTTTTGATCATGTCGCGTTGGATCCCTCTGCCTGGTGCCACAGATTGAACCGTAACTACAACACAGCCATTTGGCATGAAAGAACCATTTGTGCCGTCGGGAACGGTTCTTGGCGCAACCCCCCTAGGACTATTGCTTTGCAAATGTACCTGGACCCTCTAAAGTACACTAGAAAACGGGACATAACCTTAACTATTAGGTACTTTGAGGCTAAAGGTAGGGTGGAAACCCTTGATGCTGGACGCTCTCGGCTTCACATGCGAGGCCAGATTGCGATCCCTTCTTGGGTCCATTTGGAGAAACATAATTGCATTTCGGCCAAGAAGGAATTCACAACACAAAAGGTGTATATATATATATATATACTTTATAGAAATCATTTTGGGGCTGCTGCCATTTCCCCAAACTTCCAGAAGCCCCTGGAACTTGTTCCGGAAATCGTGTGGATCACCATCGAATCGCCCCAGGTTGCATTCGATTCAGACAATGACGGAAAGTTGATCGGCCAGGTGCATCCGTGGATTGGCGGCCGCGTCGCACACGTCGCTGGTCATCATGTTTGAGCGGTTGGGATCATGCGCCGGAATATGCATGATTGCACTGCATGGAGAGTATGAAAACCGACTTTTGGACTCAAGTGTCAGGAGCCTCACTCTGTGAAGATAAACATTGATGCGCAAATGCAATGCCATATTGGCAAAGAATCTGGTCTTGATGAACGCTGGATGAGTTCATCTATCCAAATTCCCATTGCAGCGTTTATGAAGTTTGCCCGCTAATGTTGCCACCTGCTTGAGAATCATCAACCAGCATTTCAACTCTCAATCCTTGGGGGGCTAGTTCTCCGATCAATGGGGCAAGTTCAACCCACCAACCCGCCAAGCTGATGAACCTACAACGTTCACCGCTGGTCAACACTTGAAACATCTTGAAACATGGCGACACAGGTGCAATGCAGCATGAAATCGATGCTGCATTGCTCCAGTAAGGCTCAAAATTCCCCACGCTTCTAGGTTTTGCGGATCTGAGAATGTTTGATGTTCCCGAGCTGGGTCTATTTTAGTTTTTTGTGGTTTTGCAAATTCCTTAACAATGACTTCACAGAATCTTTAGAAAGGCCCCTCAATCTGCCGTTGCCATGCAGGGTTTCATGTCAACGGGGTTAGACCGTCTTAAAGTGTACACTCCCGAAAACGAACATGGACCCTGAGAATGGCACCCTGAAAGACTGTTTTCCTGTACAAACGTGGCTTTCAAGGTCCATGTTAGTCAGGGGGGTAGATGGCAGAAATCCACCCCATTTGCGTCTGAATTGTTTTGTAAGACACCAGAAACCAGTTCCTTCATACCCGAAGATGTGGTCCACTTCCACTTCAGGGTTGCTCCATTCACCGTCCGCACCCAAAACATAAGTCATGGGGCCAAGCAGAGAACTTCGTCAATATGGTGCTCCATGTTGGACCACACATCGCCCCGTCCGTCTCGTCCGTCTCCATCGTCCGCAGTCCGTCCGCCGGTTCGCGGTTCGCAGGAGCTGGCCGTCTTGCTGGAGGTCTCTGGCCGAACCGTGCCGCCGGAGCTCTTGCAGGAGCGGCCGCGGGCCGGAGCGGCGGTGGAACGATGTCCGCGAACGAGGTGCCATGGGGAGGAGAAGGTGTTGTAGACTCGTAGACGTGCAGTGAGGAACTGTTCTTTTTGAATGTTAGACGTTGATCCTACCTTGAGAAAGGTGGAATGTGAAGCTTGGAGAATGTTGGAGAGGTCCTCATGTACCGATGTTTGATGTCTTTGAAGAAGCAAAGAGGAATTTATATATGCTCCCGGAGGCTCCGTGTAGGCAGATATGAAGAACATGCAACCCTGTTGCTTGGAGAAGCATACATTGGGTTTGTCCTATTACCTGCAACAGTCAGCAAACAAGTATCACTATTTTTGAACAAGGCCTTTACTACCCATCATAATCCGCTGTTACAGGTAGACTCGGATAGACCGACCCAAAGCACACATTTCAATGTAGCCTTGAGAAGCATACCACACTGGCACCACATGTCTCACCAAACTGGACCACATGGCACGGGTTCCACTCCTCTGGGTGGTGGATCTGCCGGAAGATGCTTCATTGAAGGGATCAACATATCCAAGTATGGTCCTCTCTTGTTTGCAAATGAACCGAAAAGCTTCCATCAAGTCATGCTGTACATGGGCCGACTGTGAGGAGGGAGTGTCGCTGTGAGGTCGACCAGCCGGTCTCTGTGTGCTCCTGCCGGCCCATGTGTGACCCATACCGGAATTTAGATTAGAGCACCCATGTTCCATCCGCATGCGAGCTCCTGTTCCTTTGGAGGAGGTCCAGTGATAGCAGCTTCATTTGGGCGAAGGTGGCATCGCTATGGCTAGAAGGCTAGAAGCTGAGCTTTTCCATCCTTGGCGATGGAACCAGATCATGAGTCCAATGGTCGTTGTCCTTCAAAATAAGTCCATGGATGACGGTGCGGGCACCCCATCGTTGATGCATACTGACACTTTGAGGCCCGATTGCATATTGTCGAGTCCAACCACACAATAGTGGGAATCTGGCGCCGACTAACAGTGACTTCTTGCAGAACGATCCGAAGTGCTTCTTGGAATTGTCTCGGAATGAGCCCGAAGTGCTTCTTGCGGCGCTTGAAAACACCTTTGAGTTGAGTGGCACCTTTGCCCCGGAGCCGGCCACATCAATCCTAGCTTGTTCAAGGCTGACATGGTTGGTGTGATGAGGCTTTATGTGATAAAAATTAACATGTTTCGCGCAGAACATAGAATCATAGAGTGACCTTCACCTTCCCTTGAAGCGCTGTTCTGTTCGACGGGGTGGCCAACACTCGTGGCCTTTCAGTTTAGGAACTAACGAAGAATATCAATGGCCTGAGGCAATCAAGCACCAAACCTGCACGTCATCCTGAGGGAACGTGTTGGACTTTTCCTCAGACGGCTGGCCGAGCTTCGCCCTGCGAACCCTTGAGTGTACATGCTCAACGTGGGATGGACCCATGTTGCTGCATGCCCAGGTTGCTGTCTCTGGCAGGGGAAAGTTCGTAGATCCGAGGATCGACTTGGAGAGGTTTGTCTATAATCATATCGTTCACTTTTTTCATATATGTTCTTCAAAAGTCAGCTGTGGACAGTTCACATGGTCGAATGAACAAGTACCGTGACCGTTCACTCCTTTGGGATTCTGCCGTCGGCAGATCGTGCCATCGTCACAGCTCCAAGGGAGCTCAAGCCGTGGAATGCATATGGAAGAGCTGGCGCGGCTCAAGCTGTATACAAAGAGCCAATTCAGCAACAGGTCACCCTGGTCCGCGTGAAACTCGTGGTGTGTGGTCAGCGCATGTGCCCCAAGGAAGCAATGCAGCCGTGGACCACAGTCGCCAAATGGCCAGCCACAGAATAGGGGAATCTGTAGCCGTCAGTTGCGCAGTGTTCGTCTTTTCACTGCTTTGGATCCGCTGGGTATGATCTTCGATGATTTGGGAGTTGACTAATGTAGACGGGACACGTGCAAACAAAAAAACAAAATTGAACTTGGCGACTTGATTTGGGGCTGCTTCAAGTGATCAATAACAATTTATGTTTCTTCCCAAGCCAAACTGAACTGAGCCACATGGGTCTCACTCGGCGGCGTTTCAGTAGGTTCAAAATCCAAAGAACGAGGATCGTATTTTTTTTGCGGATTCTGGCGTTGCAACTATGCAACATCGAATTCAAGAACAAACAATTAGTGACGTTGAACTGTTAACCAGTTGTTTGTGTTTTGTTATTGTGTGGCTGTGCCCTGAACTCCCAATGACCAGTATGCCTCCACCGGTACCAAGTTGTTCATCACTCCACAACCCTTTTCCCGTAGCAAAGCCGACTCACTGTGACCGGGGAACTTGTTCGGACAACAACAAGGTCCAAGGTGAGAGAGTTGGTCAATGAGTCTTTTTTTAAACTCAAAGTACAACTCAAAGAACCTCAAAATGCACCGGAATCCATCGGTTTCAACTCCATCGTGAAACCGGAATCCATCGTGTTTCAACCGGAATCACACCATTGGGCGCACCAGCCGATGCACAATTGGGTGACCAAGTAAGAGATCCCATGAAAGAAAGGTCGGACTACCGTTGGAATGACCGGAATGACACTTGACACTGCATGCACAACATGATCACGGTCCGTTGTCCACCCGGAGAATTTCTGCCGCGCAGGAGTTCCAATCTAAGGACTTCGAGTGTGACTACGACGAATTCACCAGGATTTATGCGCGAACGTGGCGTGTGGGGGCTCAATAGGGAGGGGCAAAAAACATGTCCAGCGTGGTGGGGGAGGTTGCGGGGTCCGACTGGCTAGTTTTCAGGAGTGTGACAAGAAAAGTTTTGCGGCGGGAACAACATCAGGTATGAAGAGAAACCAACATGTTCCAGTTGCAGTTCGTTTGCCACGGTGTTTCAAACTGTTCCTAACTTTGGATTCCTTTGGACAATTTAGCCGTGCCATCAACAACTGCATTCCTTTGCAACACCGTTAGTATTTGTATGTATTTGTACGATTTGTACGTGTATTTTTCCTGCGGTGTTCGTTTGTGTATTTTAGAGTAGTCGCGTGCTTGAGAGGAACACTGATGAACAAGCTGATATGGCCAAAGTTCACAGATCGATGTGTGACAAATTCAAGTCCCTGGCGAGCAACGATCAGTAGTGCAAAAAACGGGGGCAAACTGATTGAGAATGCACATGAATCCATTTCGTCTAGTTTGCTTCATGCGACTCCAAGTTTCTGCTTGCCACACGTGCGACGTTGTTGTTTAGCAACACGTTGACCCCATGTTGACCGCGAAAACGCCGAGGCAACGAGCGCCTGGAGGATGACGAGGAGTTCGAAGGCTCGGATGAAGTTTGAGGTGAAGTTGAAGTCTCGGCGCTTCAGGCGCCGCCTTTTTCGATGGAAGGGCGGGGACCGCGGCCGGGAAGTGGAAGAGTTGGGAAAGCAATGGGTGTTGGGGGGTCGCCGCCCAGCGTTTCATTCATGTCGGCGACTTCTTCGACTTGGACGAGATTTGTGGTCGGCGAAGGCCATGAAACAGGGGTTTTTTAGGCATGTCGTTCGACCGTTCCAAGGGATTGATTTGGAGAGAGGAGATCATGAAGATGGAAGTATAATTAAGTATAGATTACTTGTTCAAACAACTTTCTATCAGATTCCATATTTTCTCTTGAGTGGAACAGCATGGAAAAGCCTCCTGAGCTATGAATTCAATGATTCGACTGGCTTCCGACGCAATTGCAGAGTGAATAATCTGGAGTTTTTGTTGTGCGCCGGTCGTATGTGGTGCCCAGCAAGTTAACAAGATATACATCCATACTATGAGCCCATATGAACACTATTTCACTCCAGCCAGCGCCAATGCTTCCTGTAGGGCTCACCCAAAGTCTCCAAAGCTTGCGTTCCCCTGGCTCCAACATGTTCCCCCGAGTTTCCTGGCACCCACTCTCAAAGAGAAGCCAAGAAACATCATCAACCAGCCCTGTCACAGGCACTGTGCTGATCTGTGCTGACACGTATTTTTCTTGTGGTGTTGTGAGGATCTAGGAGCCTGGGATTCATTTGGTTGAGTTACATTCATATCCTTGCTTCTTCCAACAGGTTCTTGCCCCTCCGTCCGACCCGTCCTCAGGTCCGTCACCGTGGTCGAGCCCGTGGTGGAGTCCCTCTGAACTTCGAGGGATCCGCGCCATTCTCCTTCAGCGCCGCTGGAAAAGATGCCTGATCGATCCGCGAACAGAGAGAGAGCCGCGAGCCGCGAGCCGCGTCGCTGGTCGATTTGGGGGTGAAGTCGCGTGAAGCGACTCGTGGTTCAGCGCCGCCTTTTTGGGGTCAGCGGATGGACCGGTGAGACCCCCGTTTGCGGCGGCTGCCATGCGGTGCGACCGTCCGCTTTTTCCCCATGTTTTTTCGTTGACAGGGTGGGTGCATTTAGAGTTCTTTCGATGGGGACAACACCACTGGGGAAGCTTGGGCTATGAACCTCTACAAACCAAAGGAAGGTTTGACATTCCTTACAATATAGGGAATCATGACTACTTCCAGCCGCCCCTCGTTCAGAGGTTATTGTCCTGTCGGCACCTCCCAATTGGAAGGTCCTGGTACTCTGAACACGATATCATTCATCGTTCCGCGGCATGGCTCCAAAAAGATGACCATGAAATCCTCATACCAAACAGGTAATCGGTAATATATTGCCCACTTCCGTGATGTTTTTTCCGGGAGTGAGAAGGGAAAAAGTGTTTTGCGGCAAGTGGGACGTTAAGGGAGTCCAAATTGGAAACGCCCAGTACGCCTTTTAGGGATCAAGGCAATCCTCCAAAATCATGTCCTTTCTTAGAGACGGGACTGCCATATTTGCCGGGGTGATTTTGCGGGGTTCTTTCTGGGGCGGTTTTTGGTTGCAACATGTTCCAGTTCCAGACAGGTCGTGGGACTGGGTGAATGTCCTGACCCTTTTTGGATTCGGTGCGCTTCCCAGCCATCTGCGCTTGGAGTCACTGACAGGAAACCGAAACCGTGCGGAAGTGGCCCACACTCTTCTCAGGCGCTGGGGGAGGGGTGGCCCTGCAGGGTCAGCGGGGGTTGGCTCCCGGAACTGGAGCGAAGGTACGACTCATCCAGGCTGGCTCCAGTTCAGTCCGACTCCGAAACTCAGTAGGACCCCCGGCACCCTGGCACGTACCGGGGCTCCCAGGTCCGAACCGAGTCGGTGCGACCTGGAGCCCCAGGGTTTCCCTGTTTCGTTGCACCCGAAGGCGCCGCTCCTCGAGTCCGTCGGGCGAGTACCTCCACCCTGGCGTCGGAAGCCTCCTTCCGGCAGGCGAAGGACCGAGACGTGCGAAGCTGGGAGGTGCGGTTGGTTACAATCCCCATACATATCCAGACACTCCATATACTGGGTTTCCTATATAGATCTATAACTGTTGATATGTTGATAGCTTAAAAATATTGCTCTTGTTAGTTAACGCTGAGTCCTGAGTCAGATTCAACATCGTGTCACGGTGTCCAATTGCTTTAATTTAATAGAAATCAGGGTATGCCCATGTGTTTAACGGGGACCTCCTTCAGATTCAGGTTCAATCCCCAGAGAAACATGTTGGGTTCAAGCCACTGATGATCTAAAGTCTACCAAGTTTAGTAGTTGCACAACCCCATATTTTAATACAAATGAGTATTGTGGGAGGGTTGATGGCAGGTTTGAATCATGGTCTCAATGGGATACCAAACATTCCTTTGGAGACCTTGATGTCTTGATCCACTGGATGTCCAACACGGTCCATGTAAAGCACTTGTGGAGAATGTCAAAGGTGCAATCCCAAAGAAAAATGTTGGCTGTCACTAAGCCAAACACTGATCTACCAAGTGGCGAGTGTCGCAAGCCCTTACACCAATCACTACCGCTAGCGGCTAGCGATGGTTCTTGTTGGGTTTTGAATTCGCTGGAGCACCCTCAAAGTAGTGATTGTCGCATGCACTTGGGGCGCAGGACGGTCTTTTGAACCAGGTCCAGTGAAACCATGACCCTGCTGGGTGTCTCACTACCGCTAGCGATGGTTCTACCAGACTGCGACCGTCACAACCTGGTAGATCACAGTTTTTCTTTAACACATCAAATCTATTTTTTGTTGGCTTGAACTTGAGGATCAGTGGGTCTGGCAGGGAACTCCAGGGGTTGTCACCCACGGCTCAGTCTCCCAGTGGGGGAGTGGAGTGGAGTGGAATTGAGTGGAATGGAGTGGAATGGAGTGGAGTGGGGTGGAGTGGAGTGGGGTGGAGCGGGGTCTTCCCCCAATTAGCCTGATCATAAACAGGGTTTGCCTGCTGTCTGAACCTATATTAAAAACATGCAATCAACTTATCAACTTCTTTAAAAGCAGGCCAGTGTATGGTATATATTGCTTACAAGTATGCCTACGTCGACCCCTGAAACCACACCAATAACATCAAATGGCCCAAATGGGCTCCTCCAGCCCTACTTTTCATGGCGGGCTGGAGGCCTTTCTGTTCTATAGGACTTTTGCACCAGGTAAAGGCATCCACACAGAAACTCCGATTCGGTGTATCCTGGACCCTCACTTCGCTGGTCCTCTCCGTGTCCACACCATAGAGGGGGTGGCAGCGGATCTATCAGACCGGAAGACCTGGAGTCTCAAAGGTTCTCGGCCAATTCTCCGAGAATGAGAACACTAAGTACCATCGACGTATACGCATTTGTTGCATCGTTCATAGGGTACTTGAAGTCAGGTCCAGGTAGATGCGAGGGTTCTCCAACTCCTGCATCCGGGACCCATCGAACGGGGAAGTACTCCACGGGGCGATCCAGTGCGTGACACCATGGGTGCGCCTGGCACCCCGTGTAAAATCAAGGTTGACTGATGAATAGAGAACCCCGTGTATGCCAGGATGGTTCTAGAATTTGATGAATCAACGCTGCTTGGAAGTTGGTTGGTGTATTGATTTGGTGATTCCACTGTGGTGCCTGGTTTGGAGTCGAAACCTTCCCCACCGCTGCGTTCTTCGAACCGCGCAGGTCGATGCGGCCAAGGTGGCTGCTCCACAGGCCACCGGTGGAGGATCCGCTGAGCCTGGGATCCACGAACGAGGACCCAAACCACCCTCAGGGCCGAATTAGGGCCTTTTTTCGAGTCTGGGTTCCAGGGGTGCAGACACATGCTACTCAACAGGTGACTTATTTGGGTTCCAGGTATGACGATGACGATGAAAGGAACCATGAAGGTTCCGTCAGGTTCCGTCCTTCAATTGCTCCATCACCTCCTCTTTTCCAGCGCCCAGACTTGCTGGAAGCTGGAGCTTGATGCCCTGGGCGAGTTGCAACTGCGCCTGGCAGGCGCCATGGGATCTTTGAGCGGACATGGGGTGGAGCGGTCGGTGGAGCAGACGGAGCGCTTCGGGTAGAGTACGGAGGACGGTGTGTTCGCGATACGGATCCCGTCATACCCTCTGAGGTTCGGTGTTGACTGGGTGCCCGGGTGCCAGGAGAGTCCAGTCGTACCTTTGAGGAGGTACGACTGGATCCCTAGGGCATTTGACATGTTTATCATCGTGTGAGCAACCGTCAAAAATGTAGAGTCGAAAATGTGAGCAGCCTTCTTTGAGAATTTGCAAAAACCAGGGAAGCGATGCTCCAAAAGCGATGCCCTCCCAGAACATGAAGCATGAGCATTGTCCAAGTGTATTTGCTTGACATGCGTTTCTTCTTTCAAGAGCTTCTTGATCTGAAAAGGTAGTCATTTCCTATAGGGCCCAAACTCAGGGATTTGACGCGACACCTTTAGCGATGCCTAAGCAATACCCTAAGCGATGCCCTTGATCATGTCAGTCCATCAGTTGCCCACTTAAACTTAGGTTGGTTTGTAACCAACAGAGATATTTGGTGAATGCTGTTAGCTGCTTGCAAAGCTCTTCTAGTGTCAGCTGAGCTTTGCTGATACCCTCGACTCGAGTGAAGCTTGCGTAAACTTTGTTTTGTTTGAGTGCTCGTGCTCATAGATACACTTGTCTATACAAGAAAGCAAGGCCTTCCTTCCAAGCTGGAGTCCAAAGTTGTCCAAAACTGAGGGAAGCGATGGGCCCCCAATCTATGTGATTACATTTTGACAGCCGCACATGTGCACTTGTGGATGGCTGAATCATGTCTTTAAATTCCTCGTTGTATATGCCCGCCCATGGTATTTGCACCTATTTTCTCAGGTACGGTGATTGGAGACACCGTTACATATGCAGGTGTTTGGAAGGTCCAGTCGTACCTTCTGAGGTTCGGTACGACTGGATCCCTATATCTATACCAGGACCCTCCAAGGGGTGCCCAATGGAAGCCGATATAGGTAGTGTGGGGTAGTCCATTGGACACCCCGTGGAGGGTCCTGGTAGGTGTTTTTGTTCCAATGTTTTCTTTGTCGTTCTGTCGATCTCGCCAGGGGGCGTTTTGGCTCCATCGCGCTGGGTGGCGCTCCGGATCTCTGACTTCCACGTGCGAGGCACGCCGAAGAAAGACTTCAGACGTCGCGGGCCAGAAGACTCTCGCGCACCAGAGGGATGGGCAGATTGAGGGCGTTCGGAGTACAAAGGTTGAATCTGGTTTGTCATGATCCCTAGCCAGACTATCCCTAGGCCCTAGCCTTTGAGAAGGGCAGGCAGGCTTGGGACCTTCGCGAGATGGATGCGCGTGTCGGGGCGCCTCCCGCGTCGGAGGCCCATTGAGTCCCGCTGAGATGGATCCGTTGTGCTTTCTGCTCACCTGCGACGTGGTGTGCCGGGACGCCCCGACCGTTGAGCTTCAGCGGTCCCGACGTTGGGTGCGTCGTGGGGGTGAGATGTCGGTCGGGTGTTGTAGGCTCCGGCTTTGTTCCGGGAGGAAGGCGCAAGGGACGACCTTGATGGAAAGGTAACCTGACTGGCCAGAGGTGAGCAAACAGGCGTCCAGAGAACCACATGAGCACCCGCCAGAATGTGCAATGACTCATTTAGTAAAGAGCGATCGTGAATTTCAGAAGTTGGGCTAACACCTCAAAAGCTGTAACCTTGCTGCATCATGTCCTTTGCTTCTTCCAGTACGTTTTGGCAGACGCTCACACTGGAAACCACTAAGGGATCTGTACAAACTGGTCATAGCAAAGGCATATATGTATATATATACCAGGACCCTCCTGTCGGGGTGCCCTGTCTGGAAGCCTATAGGTCACTATAGG